CCCCCCCTTTTTTTTTTTTTTTTTATTTTTCAAGATTTAAGATTATTTGTTTGGTATTTGTATATGAATATAATAGTTTCTTTTTGAATGGTGTGTCTCTGAAATTTAGCTTAAAATCTGAATAAAAGGAGCATCAGTAAAATATTGTGCAATATCCTCAGTAATATTCATGGAAACATGAATGTAGAATATGCAGAGCAATTTATGGAAAGACTAATTTCACTATTTCCTAAAATATAAAATATGTAAATACAGGGCTTAGTTCACACGGAAAAAGTAGTTTTAGGCTGCAAGGGCTTTATTCATTTTATAWAAACAGAAATGAAAAGAAAAAAATATCTTTCATAATAAATAAATACACAATGACAAAGGTTACTATTGAAGGGATTACAAATGACAGAAGCCAACATAAAAACTTTTAATATCATACTTTTACTTTAATATGAAGACATTATTATCAAAGGAAAATACTCAAGAAACGCTTTGATAAAAATAATCTCACACTATCTTTGAAGCGGTTTCATTTATTTTACTACCCACTGTGTTTCTTATCAGAAGGCCAAGTATAAGAAGTTTCCTAGTTTATGATTAGGAAAGAATCTGATAGATTAGAAGACTCAATTGAAGTTGGACATAATAAGTATTAAAGTATTACATGACATTAATCCTGCCATTCCATTACTCTCTCAATCATTGTGCACAGACTAATTATTCTGAAGCCAGTGTTCAGGAGAAAATAGAAACATACTTACACTGGGTTGGAGTAATCTCTTTATTGCATCAACAAGGCTAGCTCTGTACTGGTCCAGAAACAGGCTGACATTGAGAAGAGAACAGAATCCAGATTAAAATGGGTTTTCAATTCTAATGATACTAATGCAGATAAGTACAAGGCTAATTACGTATATTTACACAATGCAGTAAAAGAGAAACTGTGGTTTACATTTCTTTCCAATTCATGCACTATTTAATAAAAAATTTAAACGAAAACAACTGAAACTTGAAATAAATATTATTTATATCAAAGCCAAAGAATCCGCATGAAACCATCCTTTATGTGGCTGAAATTCACAGATCACATGTGTTAGCTATCAAAATACTACCATATCAGAAATCAGGATCAATAACATATAACACAAATTTAATGTTTTACATACCTTTTATATGGGCAGGATATGGAATTTATTAGAGTATTTTCTGCTGTATTTCATGCCTTACTACAAAGGCTTTTTTTTTTTTTTTCTATTTAGAGTCATTATATTCATTTATTATCTATTATGCATATTTGTACTACTTATATGCTTCTGTCTATTTATATAAAGGTACACCATGACCCTGACAATACAGAGTTGTCCCATCTCAAGAATGAAATCCTTCATCTCCAGCATGGGTCCTGCAAGGACAGCAGCCGAGTCAATTTTCCCATGCAATGCTGTCAASACGTTCAGCCCTATTTTGGTGTGATTGCCTCATGATTTGAGGGGATAATTCATTCTTCCTGCCCCTCAGTACCTTAATGTGGATAGTAATGGTGGCAACCAGGGTGCCAATCACTCTTGACTAGGTATTTGTGGACATGTGGACGAGAGTGCATTTACAATGGTTAGTGAACAACCATCAGATAGCAACTGATGCCTTTCAGTTCTTACTACCAAGGGCTGCATTTATATTGGTGATTCAGATAAGAAAGAGTCTATCAAGCAGGCCACAAGTAACGTGATTTTTCTTCATTATTTTTCATGCCTTCTCTGCCATAAAATTACTTCCCAATATGTGCCATGCTAAAGTTCCACATTATAAGGAATTTGTCCATTCTTTATGATTCATTTTATACTTTCTCCAATTCCTTTCTTCTCTGAAATGCATATTTCTGGGTGGAACCAAGTGATTTTTTTCCAGGTTTGATACATTTAAAAGAATATAAAGAATATATGAAAAGAACGAAGAAAAAGGTAGTCTACAAAACATAGACCAGTCATCAAGAACAGAATAGCATGGGTATTTAGATACGGATATTCCACATATAACAGGGAGAATATAATTGTATTATGCATTATAAGACCAATGTGTTGAAATGCTGAATTTCTCAAATAACCCAAACAGAGTTTAAAACTTAGAAATAAGCACAATGGCTACCTCTCAGCCTCAATTAATCATAGTGGGAGAACTGGACAAAGGTTTGCTTAAATAAAAATAAAATAGCAGATAAAGTGATATCTCTCATCTCTAATGTTTCCTGGGAATTTTAACCCTATTCATGTCAGGTACATCTCTATATGGATAGGCACTATAGGACACTACGTCACCCGGAACATATCTACATGCAGAAGAAAAAATGGACTGTACTGTGTGAGCCCTCTTGCCACGAGTACTTTAAAACATTTTTTTTTTCTATAAAAAATGATTCATGTGTCCAGTAGAAGGAACAGGAATAGTAAGAATTTCTCTGGTCAGCAAGAAGTCTCTGAGTGCAGCAGTAAAGAGGCAGGAACCTACAGAGGCAAAGAGGCAAGAGCCATGATTTATGACTCTTGGYCTTTGCTTAGTCAGTGCTGTTCACCTGTGAAATCTGGGTGAACAGGCAATCTTGACAGCTCCTTCTTTTCCTTTTTTTCTTTTTTTTTTTTTCTTTCTCTCCTTCATTTTAAATTATTGTTTCTTAAAAAAAAAAATAAAAAATGAAGTTCACACAAAACCCCAAAATTTGTATGGGAGTAATGGTAAAAAAAAAAAAAAAAAAAMCCACCACCACCAAAAAACAGGTAAATTCCCTATTCAGTTAAAGCTAGTATATTTTATCCTATTTTCCTATGTCTTGAAACCACAAGCTTATATTTTAAGGCTGTGATGTGAAATTATGTTCCATAATTTATAAGGGGTAAAAAGCTTAGTTTATGATCTACTTCAGATATKATTGCATTAATGTACAGTGCCTAGYGCATACAGTCTTTTTTATCTTTTTGTTCACTTTCAACCATAAGGCTGTCACAACCTGAAAAAACTCTTACTTCCATGTCATCAGATTCCAATGCAATTGAGAGTAAAGTGTGTGCAAGAAATCAGGCTTAAAATGAAAAATAAATTTCAACTGAGAAAGGACAGAGATTTTACTGTATTCCTGCAGAAAGATTTCTTTATATTAAATCAAGACCTGATAGGGAAAAACAGATATATTTTAAGTTATTTAAAGAATAATTTCAATTTGTTTCTCCATTTCTGTTGTATCCACAGCTCCTGGTGACTTAAGAAAGAATTTCAGAGGTGAAAGCAATGTGAGATAGGCTTCCAGACATCTGCTAGGTAAATACTTACCTACATGCCGAAAAGGTAAGAATGATCAGCTTAATTAAACAGAGTAGGATATTATGCATTTCCTAAGTGATATGAGAATCTAGACCATATTTTTTTTCTAAATTAAAATTATGTATGAAAATCCTGTTCATGAGAAGCCGGGTGGCAATGATATTTTTAACTCGATCAACCTCTAAGGTCCTTGAATTTCTCTTTGGATTAAAAATCTCAGCAACTTTCTRTCTTGATAATTAGAAGAATATATCCTCCATCTTAAATAAATAGGTATCTGGGACTCTTGGGAGCTTAGGAAATGTCCTGTTGTAGCCACTGTTCTTTCCCTGGTACAGGGCCACTTGGTATTTCGCCCCTCCCCTCCATCGTCCCTCTTATTCAAACCCCCATCACCTGCATAACTTTATATCTGCAAGTGCAGRTCAAATGAAACCTTGAAATTGTGGCAGATTCGAGATTCACCTGGCCTTGAAATTGCCACTCAATAAAAGCAGGTGGTAGGATATACCTTAAAAAATTCAGTGTTTCACTATTTTTTTCCAGTATATCCTTCTTCCAGGTGTGGCCTCACTAAGATATTTTTTCCTTATTTTTTATCTCATAGTTAACATTTTCTGAGTTATTTAGAAACTGCTGAACCATGAAACTATTTTTATTGTCAAAATCCTGAATGGTTAAATAATGACTAGCTTTCACAGTTTGCCTCTTATTTATTTTATAATCTAGTTGAGCTACTAAATTTAGCTGTTAACTAATAGACTGTCTGTTCTGTGAAATAACTTATTTTCCACCCCTGCACACAACATTTATGAAAGTCTGAATGTAAATATATGAATATAAACATATCGCTGCTTGTTGTAATCATGCACATTTTTTCTTGAACATCCATGTGGATTTGGAATATGTTTATGAATAGAGCTTGTTTTCATGTAAATGGGATCAAGCAGTACCACTGGTTAGCTATTCAGAGAATCAGACAATATCACCCTTGCTGGAAATACTTCAATAAGAATTTATCCATGTACCTAATATTTGAACTCAGTTTTTTTGCTTTATAGTTCTCTGTTCTAATCCCAGCTTTTATTGACTGACAATGAACTACATGATGGTGTTAAACTAAATGCAATCTATTCTATCTGTTTTTATTTTTATTTATTTATTTATTGTTTTTATCACTGCGTACTTCAGGTTTCACCTGAGGAACTGCAAGAGAAAAAGATTTCTTTTCCTCTTCAATGGCAGCCCCAAAAAATTCAGAACAAAAAAATATGCCAATAGTTTTCAAGACAATTCTGTATTTCAGAAGAGAAAGTTCTTGAATTTCTAGACATAAAAATAAAATGAAGATTTGAATTTGGTAAGTACAAGCAACATTTTTTTTCAGTCTTGTGATGTATTAGAAATTTTAGCATACATTATTAAAATGTTTTTTTAAAAGAAAAAATATAGAGGCTTGATGCCTATTAAACTACATATTAGGAGCTGTAATAAAAAATAGGAATAATTTTTGAATAAAAATGTACACTCTAAATTAACCTTCACATATCTATTTATTTTTAAAATTCGATTAATAATTATACTCTTAYCTGCATCTTAAGTGCTTCAAAATAAATCACAAATGCAGGGATTGCAAGTGCATTATGTATTTTACCTGTCATGTGTGAGCCTTTGTTTACTAAAGAAACAAAATTATTTCCAAACAGACTAGGAAGAGTATTTAGGAAAGAATATTATTGAGGAAAACAACTTAAGCCTTGCTCCAGTCTGCAATGCTCCTAGTACAAATAGGATGACATGGTGTGAGTATCAAGAACACAAGCGATGGCACAGCCAGGTTGTTTTGATATTTGTGTGAAGAACAAATTTAACTCTAAATCTCTTGGCAAGACCTTGCTTCACCCACATAATCTGGAGAACATCCATATGTGAGCCTCGTCTAAGCCTCCGAGAAGACTGCTGCCCTCCTGCTCATGTATGCCAGTACTCTGATCTGACTTTCATACTTAATCTGATCTAATCCTGTCCAGCATTAACTTCATCTGTGCAATGAAACCTGGAGTATCCATTCTAATATTTGGTGAGGAAGGCATTTACTAAATTACTTGCTGAAATCATATGGTGTTGTTTAGCTCCTTATTTTAATCAGATGATGCATCTCTGAGGCACATTATCAGCGATTAGTTAGAAACCCATCTCTGTCCTTTTTGGGAACAAAGAACTTTTCTGAAATTAAATGCTATGAGAAATGAAGCACTATTGCATTCTGTCAACAAATGGGTATTAGGAAAAGAAAAAAAAAAGAAGAAGAAATGCACTTTCTCCAGCGCTATATAAAAACAGTAATCTTTTTGAAATAAGAACAGTTTGCTTAAATTGCCAAACATCAAGCCAACAAATAAATAAATAAATAAATAAATAAATAAATAAGAGGCTTTAGAGAAATATTTCATCAGAAGCCACTTAAAAAGAACATTGTTTAAAGAGACAATAGACAGCTTCGCACTTCCCTTTGCCTTTTTCCTTTAACTATTTCTTAGTAAGGTACAGAAATCTGTTGAATGGAGCTATCTTAGGAAGTCTCTGTTTTCAGAACTTGGTTTCTTACAATAGTTACATGCAACAAAATATAAACATCTTTTTCTGTTTTGGACCACTAAAGGGTCAAGAGCAAATATCCATTATGGGAAAACAGATTTGTATAAAAATATCTGCTTCCTTAACTGAAATCCTCACAGGTGTTTTTACACTTTCTCCATTTATAATAATTCTTATAATTAGTAATCTGCCATTGAAAAAGTTAAAAGTTAGTATGCAGTAAATAAAGGRTAGCACAATTGTATAAAATGCAATATCAGAAATAGTTTGTTTTGGTAACAAAATCTATGTATATACTGTATTGTAACACTTTTTCACAATGTGGTATTTTTTCATAAATGTAGTATTCTGAATTTTTTTCTAAAAAATCTATTATTAACATGCATAAATAATACAAAGCCCAGGTCTACCAATACTGCTGTCAAATTGATTTAAGAAGCAGAATATGATGAAAAAAAGATTTCAAAAATCTTCTCTTCCCTGGAAAGATTTTCTGGGAAGCAAAAAATACATCCCCTTATATCAATAGTCAGATCTTTCCTAAGAAGTAAGCTAATTGAGCTGTTTGTGTTGATAAACTCCCTTTTCTCCAGACTGTTCTTCACTGAGCCATAATTATTTGCAATTTGCCTAAGTCGTCCATTTACTGATACGTCAAGCATGAAACAGAGGCAATTCCAGAAAATGGAAATGCTTCTCAAAATCAATCTTTGGGAAATAATGTGGTAGAAGTTACTGTGTGATAGAAGACTACCTTATAACTGTCACATGGAGATGAATATTAATTTGTTGAGGTTAAGGTGGCTTTGTGCTTCATTTGTTGACTTTGCTTAGCCATCAGCAAGCAGCACAGTACAATTACTCCAGCAAAGCTATTTTTCTAACACGAGTTTTATGATTTTTATGTACTTACCAGTCAGCACACATAACAATGTCAAAATGTCCTTCCAGTTGAGAGACATCTGTCTCATTATCCCATCGTAAAATGCTAGAGGAAAAAAAAAAGATTAAAAAAAAAAAAGGAAAAAGGACTTACATTTTTCATCTTGATATTTTAAAAGTATTAATATTATTTTCATGTGACACAGAAGTGTTTTAAAAAGTAATACACACATTGCTTTCAAAGATGAACGTAACAACATTATTCTATGTCTTTCCCTTTTTTTTTTTTGCTTTTAAATCTCAAAGCTAAAGAGTTTCCTTTTTTGCTGCAGCAGCCAGGCGATCTACACAGGCTGCTGAGTGGCTCACTGACAAATACGCAGCCCTCAATTAGTGGCACATGTAGGGTTTCAGATTTTTGTTTCTTTTCTGCACCCTCTACCACCTCTGGGAGAGGCAAAGTATTGCCAAGCTGGATGCGGTGGAGATCCGTGAAGCAGATGTGGGCTCCCGGGCACATCTGGCAGGCAGGGCGGTCGTGTTGCTCACTGCTCAAGTGAGCATCCACTTGGGCTGTGGGGAGGAGGGACGGGGTGAAGGGCGCCCAGCGTCACTCCGGTGCCAGCCACGCTGCCCGCGGCAAGCACGGAGACACAGCAGAGCTCGCTCTGTCAGCACCTCTTCTCGCACAGGTGAGAAGCAGTTTAATGCTAAAATCCTTAATAACAGGCCCAAAAGGCGCATGTGTGCAAAGTTGCTCTTTGTCTACGAGGCCTGCTGCGCTACATAGCTGCCACGGTGAATTTTAGCACTTTGCTCCCATTTTAAAACAGTAATTAGTAGTGGAATTTACTGCCTACTTAAAATATCATTACTCAGAAGATTTGAAGCAGCATTTCTATTTCTAGCTTTTTTTTTCCTTTTTTTTTCTTTTAATAATCTATCCTTTTTCATTTCCTGGTTATTTATAAAAGAAAGTGGATAAATATTTATGGGAAAAGCACTTGTGGGGGAAGGGTCTAATCTGATCTTGTCAGGTTGTGCGTGCTTATCTCAGTTCTGTATGAGTCTTGACCAAATAGACCCTTTAGTCTTCCCGCAGCTATAATCTACTTCTGGTTAAAAGCCATCCCCATTCACATACTCCTCCTAATATTTAACTGAGGATCAGTTATAACGTGCCCATTCAGAAACGCTCCCTGATCATACAGGAAAAAGAAAAGGGAATTGTAAGCGTGGACTATGCCATCTGCAAAAAGGCTTAGCTATACGTATACTGTGTGTGTGTGTGTGTGTAAATATATATATATATTTCTATAAAAACACCAGGCTCCATAGACAAAGAATTAAGGTGCGTGTGTGCCCRGGCACGGACGCAAATCTTGCGACCGGCTGCTCTGCAACCGTGGCAGCCGGTGACACGGAGGCCCCACCGCTCCGGAGAGCTCGGATTATGCAGGGGGCTCGGCGCAACCAAACAGCTCAGGCCTCATTAGCCCATTTGCCCTCCTGGAATTTACGGCGGCAATCCAAAGGGAGAACAGAGTAGATTAATTTAATTTTTCCCCCGCTCGCCGAGGGGACGCCAGGTCCGCGGGGCCGGGCGAGCTGCGCTCGCTGGCACGCAGCAGGCATCCAGGAGGGAAAAGGCACAAAGGAGAGTCCTCCCTCTCGGCTGCCGGCTGCCTGCTGGCTACCGGCGCTCTCTCAACCCTGTTTCCCTGGAAACTTAGGCTCGAATGGCGAAATTAGGTAAAGGTAAGTTTTGTGGGCTTAAAGCATGCACTCTAATATTTTAAGAATCCTCAAGCTGAACTGGAAATGGGTAAACGAACTGCGAGCCTTAAAAGGCCACCTTGAGTTCTCATTGCTATGGAAGCAGGGAGCTGATCGGCACGGCTAAGGGGATTTCAGTTATGTGTTTTTTGTTTTTTTAAAACCATATATTTACTATACTTCACAYATGTAGTTCAAAAGGCAGTGCGGGTGCTTCCTCCTGGGCGGAAACAGAACAAAACAAAAAACTTCTGCTACTGTCACCTTCCTGCTGAACATCCAAAATACAGCGTTTTCCATGTACACCTACCAAGGGCACAAAAGCAGGTTGTGCAGACAGGTGAAAGCTCAGCCTCCATAATGCTGAACAAAATCTAGAGCAGTTGAGTTACCAAGAGCACGAGTGGTGGTGCCACAGGATGGGTGTGCGTGCGGTTACAAGCCACAAGCTAAGGACACACCATCCAGCCATAAGCCAATCTTTCCTCATGGAGCTCCAGAGTTCCAGACCTGCTGCATTTCCCTGAAGTCATGATAGCTATGCCAAGGCCCACGATTAATTTGGTCAATGGTAAATTTTACTTTACCATTAACTTTCAAAGGGCAAAGGAACATCTGTATTAAGGTTGAGAAATAACCTTGTAAACTAAAGATACTCTCTATAAAATAATGACAGGGTTGCTTCTGGTCTCACTTGGCAGGTGCACCCTTCAGGGAGAGGTGTAACTATAATCTGTGTGCATCTATCCAAGTCATATTTAGTGCAAATAAAATTTTACATTGMAATAGATAACTACATTTGGGCTACCAGGTCTACCTTGTCATTGGATTAAAGCTGCCAAAATTTGCATGAGCTGCAGTCATACATTTGTATTTGCACCTGTAAGGTGGACATTCCTCTGCATGACAGGGAAWGGGGAATAACTGTTCAAAATCAGAATTATTATATCATTAACACTGACTTTGGAATCAGCTTGATTCTGAATGAGGATCAGCCACTTTAATTTCTAATGCTAATGAAACTAATGAATCAGAGTCAGGACATCTAATAAATGCCATAGAAAAACAACAAAAGCTCCTTCAACCTAAATGCAATTCTTGAACATGAAGGATCAAAAAAGCTACTGATATTGCAAAACCGCTTTGGGATGAGTAAAGATGTGTGCAAGTGTATCTAAATGCATATGGAGGCTAAGGAATATGGATTTTTTTTTCCAGGAATAGTTGATGACATGCCTTATGGAGTCATCGGCCAGAGCTGAAGGAAATACTGAAAGTACAGTGAAAGAAGGACCAACTGCATCTAATTTTAAAGAAAAGAACAGGTAGGAGAATTAGGAAAAAATTAGCAACAGAAAACTCAAAATCTCATCTTTTATAAAATTTCCTTTTAAAATAGGCATGGTTACAACTATGCTGGGCACAAAAATCTTCTATTWTTTTTTTTTTTACCCTCAAGGAACTGGGGAGCAAATTTGTAAGATTTTATAGAGTTATTTTTTCAGTCTTTTCTCTGAAGTTTTTGAGTGGATATCTTGAATGCACATAGCAGATAAGAATAGGAAAAATCATTATTTGATTTAATATGGAAAACTGAAATTTCTGAGGCTTTAGAATATTTGTCTTCCAATTTCCTTCCCATAAAATAAGAACTTTTAAAGGTACAATATGTTTAATGTCTCTCTTTTGAGGTAAGATGCTACAATACTGACATTAATTTGCAAATTTAGAAAACGTACTTTCTACTGTATTTTTGTCTACACTATATTTTTAACRGATTTCCTGACAAAATAACATATTTAAGGCTGTCTAAATCCTACTGTGGATCTTAGTTTGTAATGACTTATTATGCTGACTTAAAGTATGCAGGTTTAGTTTCTTGCAGTCAAAAGTAGGTAACCTGATTTCAGTATGAAAAGGACCTGCAACTGAAAATATAAAATAATGTGAGGATTTTTTTTTTTTGCTATTATGTTAAAAATGTTAAAAAATTAAATAGGATGTCGTGAAAGAGTGTCCAGCAATTACTTAGGCCAATCTGTTGGTGTCTGAAACTTGGTACCTGCTAATGGCTGCCTTATGGCCTATATTGAATGAATTTGACCAGTTTTCAGAGGAAAAGTACCCACGTCACAAACCTATTACTATAATTAGCAATCTTGATGGCAGTCCTAGCAAAAAGGACAAGGACTGAATGAGCCATGGAGAATGAACTATCCTCTCACACACAGAGGTGGCTCTTCCAGGTCAGAGATAAAGCATACTACTGAAATAGTCTGAGAAAATATGTACTGATGCTTTAGTTCCTGAAACTGCCAGTCTTATGCAATTCTAAAGCAACAAATTCACTAAAAAACAAGAYTTTTTTTTTCTCCTTCCTGATGCATCTTTTGAATTGACAAGCCAGATAATGTGATTAAGGTCAAGATAAAAGGAATTATAAGGATAGTGGAACTAAAAGATCAAATAAGAAAACAGAGACTGAAAGAAGAGCATCCTTTCTTGAAATACTCATAATGTACCCCTAAATATCCGCTTGCATTTCAAAATCAAAAGTTACAAACATCCTAAGGACAGTAATTGCAGCCAGAGCTATATTTCCCCTGTAAAATATTTTTAATTTATGTAGAATAGCCTAATAAATGTTGAAATTTCTTTTCTTACTAGCTTCTTAGTAACGTTTCTCAACAATCTGCAATGAAATCCTGCTTTTACCACCTATTTATCATGCAAAATTACTTCTGTGATTCTGTGATTCAATGATTCACTGACGTACATATAGGTTTGAGTAAGAGATTTTGCCCGGGTATCTTTCTAKGACATTTGCCAAGAAAGTTCTTAGCATATTAACAACAGAATTCAGGATTTTTCTTCGTATCTTGTTCTTTGTCTGTGGTTGGTCTGTTTTGTGTTAAGAAGAAAATGACAGATTTTAATTCAGCAACAGAGACACTTATGATCAGAACTCCTCTGGAGAGTACTGCAACTTTCCCTGCTTCCATTTCCCCGTATTTGTCATTATATTCTCATTAGGTTACTCTTATTTCTCATATTCTTTCATCTTCTGCCTTTCTTACCTTCACTGCTTCACCTTGCTCTATGTTCTTATCTGCWACTGCATTCCTTGTGTTGCACACCTGGTGTCAGCAAGCCAAGGTGAAAGTTTGAATCATGAGTACCCCATCATCAGTCATTTTCTTATGKTTCTAAGCATATTGAATGCAGTATTTGTAATTGCTGATTAGAGTTGCCTTCTCACAATTTCTTCTTAGGTTAACCCCTTGCAGGCTTTGGCAATTTCCACTTGTCCTCCAGTTACAAGTGATCATG